TACAGGTTCATGCCAACGTGTGTATAACATAGACCTTATACAGGTTCATGCCAACGTGTATATAACATATAGACCTTATACAGGTTCATGCCAACGTGTGTATAACATATAGACCTTATACAGGTTCATGCCAACGTGTGTATAACATATAGACCTTATACAGGTTCATGCCAACGTGTGTATAACATATAGACCTTATACAGGTTCATGCCAACGTGTGTATAACATATAGACCTTATACAGGTTCATGCCAACGTGTGTATAACATATAGACCTTATACAGGTTCATGCCAACGTGTGTATAACATATAGACCTTATACAGGTTCATGCCAACGTGTGTATAACATATAGACCTTATACAGGTTCATGCCAACGTGTGTATAACATATAGACCTTATACAGGTTCATGCCAACGTGTGTATAACATATAGACCTTATACAGGTTCATGCCAACGTGTGTATAACATATAGACCTTATACAGGTTCATGCCAACGTGTGTATAACATATAGACCTTATACAGGTTCATGCCAACGTGTGTATAACATATAGACCTTATACAGGTTCATGCCAACGTGTGTATAACATATAGACCTTATACAGGTTCATGCCAACGTGTGTATAACATATAGACCTTATACAGGTTCATGCCAACGTGTGTATAACAGATAGACCTTATACAGGTTCATGCCAATTTACGAACTGTGTTCATAAGTTATATGAACTTATATATGAAATTTAAAATTATATGAACTTATAAGTTATATGAAATATGAGACACTCATATACGAGACTGGATCCTCCTACAGTCAGAGTTCTGTTTGTATTTAAATAAAAAGACGTTCATATATATCTAATATGCTAGTAACCAGGGGCCAGATTCACGGAGCAGTTACGCAAGTACTTACGAACGTGTATATCTTTCCTCAATTTTTGACGGCTTTATTTACATTTATTAAACAGTTTACAAGCATGAAAACTTCCCAATCAACTCTTCTTATTGTTATAAACATCCTCCTGTTGCTTCAGAGCTCATTAACTGTTTAATAATTGTAAACAAAGCCGTCAAAGATTGGGAAAAGATGGACAGGTTCGTAAGTGCTTGCGGAACTGCTTCGTGAATCTGGCCCCAGATTGCTAGAACAGGCTTTTAAATATTTTGTCTTAAAAGTCTTATTTCTTGAAAATGTTACCAGCCATCTATTGATTGCGGAGCTTCTTGGGGGTTTATGTTTTCATTTAATAAACCCCCATTAACCTCAAAATTATACCATGCTGTTAGTTTTACAGGCCTAAATGTTGTTTTAACAAATGGAAGGGAGCCCGTCGGCCGAGCGGACAGCACGCGGGACTTGTGATCCTGTGGCGCCGGCGCAGAAACAATGGGCAGAGTTTCTTTCACCCTATGCCCCTGTTACCTAGCAGTAAAATAGGTACTTGGGTGTTAGTCAGCTGTCACGGGCTGCTTCCTGGGGGTGGAGGCCTAGTCGAGGACCGGGCCGCGGGGACACTAAAGCCCCGAAATCATCTCAAGATAACCTCAAGATAAGGAAGTTCCAACTTCCCGAAACGCTACGCGTGTTAGTAGCTTTACAAGAATATAAAAACATCAGTGATATGTACTCTCATAAACCCAATGTACCTTCTTGTACATAAATACAATAAATTGATGTTATTGTGCCAGAGAGAACCCAAGGGGGTTGAAATTGAAATTGAAATAAGTTTATTGAGGTAAAATACACACAAAGGGATGAGATAGCTCAAGCTATTCTCACCCCGTTCAGTACATCGTGTTAATACATACATAGACACACATCACAAACAATAAACATATTACCAAACATTCTGAGAGATAAACATATACATTTTCTACCCAAGGGGGTTGGCTGCCCTTAAGAGCAACATTTATAGCCAGAGAAAATGAGCTCCAATGCCACTTTCCAGGCGGCAGAGAACGTCACTGGGTTTAACAAGGTTACCATAAAATATAAGATTGCGGAGGAGCAGATTTCTTTGCTTTAAATCCAACCACTTTAGAACCCAGTTGTATTGGTGTCCCCCTACAGCGTCCCCGGTACTGGTGTCCCCCTACAGCGTCCCCGGTACTGGTGTCCCCCTACAGCGTCCCCGGTACTGGTGTATTTGTCATATATATTGTGTTCATGTTCAAAATACGTAAGATAACGTGTATGCGAGTGAGATAGTATGCTTATTCTTGAGTTTTACAACCATTTGGCGAGACATTGTGTGTGTGTGTGTGTGTGTGTGATGTATCCAGGAGCAACGTAATAACAGCGGAAGTTGAATGCTTCTTCCTGTTGCTAGAAGAATAAACATAATGAGCTTCTACTAAGCTTTTATATATATATATATATATATATATATATATATATATATATATATATATATATATATATATATATATATATATATATATATATATATATATATATATATATATATTATTAATAAGGGTTACCACAAGGGAAACTGAAATTTTAAATTACTTCCTTGCCCTTGGCTAGGAGAACGTTGGTAAGTGAGTTTTTCCGGTTAGCAAAAGAATTTCCTTGTGAGATATTATACTGCCATAGAACTGTGTTCGTCACGCCCCCCCCCCCCCCTCTTCCTTAAACCTGATGGGTTGCTCATCTTGTCACTATTTTTTTTTTACTTGCACCCAAACGAAAATATATTTGAAACTAAACTTTTTCCAAATCCAAACTATGTGGAATTTGCGATAATGTAGTGCAGTACTATACGTCGTTGTACTCTCAAGCGAGGAATCCAAGTTCGATCCCCCGGGCGGGACAGAGAAGGTTGGGCCGGGCACGCTTCCTATCATCCAATGCCAGTATTAGTGTTGTAGTAAATAGCTTAGGCAGCTGTTGTGAGCTGCATCCTGGGTACAGTCATTAGGGTATAGGTTAAGTAATAATTGTAATTAAGAAGCAATAAGATGCTTATCTTAACATACTAAGAAGGTTAGGTGAGGTCGGTGTTTTCTATGAAGCTTTTCAAGGTAAACTAAAATATTCACAATCAATTAGTATGTCACTTATGCACTTATTAAAAAAGCCGATATTGACTGTAAGCAAGTGCGAGAACGGGTTGCATCAGTAGTTGGTCGAGAGGGACCGGGACAAGCTTAACCGGTTTTCTGTCTGGTTCTTAGGTAGACACAGTCACCCCGGTACAGTTAGAGGCGAGTTCCTTCTCACACGATGAAGATTCTCTCCTTTAATTAACTACCTAATCTTCGTTGATAATTTTCGGCTGCAACTGTAATGTAATAAGAGTATAGAATCACTGACATTCATCTTGCTCGCCTTCAAAGTACCGTTTCCGGATGATACCTCTAATTTATTGAAGTCTGTGTAAATTAAAGATTCATTAGGGTCTTTTGAAATTTTGGAAGCCAACGCGTTTGCTCATTCATACATGAGAGGAGATCCATAGAAACTTGACCCGTCTGTTTTCTTCCCGATTTTTAACTGTGTAGCCAGTAATATATATATATATATATATATATATATATATATATATATATATATATATATATATATATATATATATATATATATATATATGTTTCATTGAATATGACCGCATATTCTGTATTTATTATTTTCTGTTTTCTGGTTTAGGGCTTCTATCCCTCTAACTATTTTCTTAGCATCAGGGCTTAATTGGAATAGGAGTTCTCCAAAACTCTTTTTCGTACTTTTAAGGTGAAGAAAAGAAGTGATTTACTATAGAGTGTATTACACTTTTTTGTATAATTTGCACGACGTTTCGAACCTCCATGGTTCATTCTCAAGTGAACAGATCTTACAATACTAGTTGATTTTATACCCGCATTAGGTCAGGTGATAATACAATGAAGGTGAAAAACATGGGGGGATACATAAGGGATAAACATAGGGGCTGCAGAAGGCTTATTGGCCCAATACGAGGCATCTCCTATCTAAACACAAAGATTAATCCAGTGTAATTGGCCTGTTATGTTGGACATTGTCTTCTGTGTTGGCATCGATATGTTCTTGTCTTGTCCTTACTCTCATGGTGTATATATATATATATATATATATATATATATATATATATATATATATATATATATATATATATATATATATATATATATGAGAGAGGGGGAGAGAATGTTAAAATTCCAAATCCCATAACGACCAAGTATTGGTGAGAATCAGGTAAAAAGTGGTTGTGAGGACCTATGACCTGAGAAGAACCCGTCATTTTCTGTGTAAGACCTTTTTTCACTAGTACAGGTTACAGATCCAATTTGAATCAACCCCCCCCTCCAAAAAAAAATTATATATATATATATATATATATATATATATATATATATATATATATATATATATATATATATATATATATATATATATATATATATATATATATACACATGATTTGTCTCCATTGCCTTAAGAGACACTTGTTACCTGGGTAAAAGTGCTGCTAGTTTTTTTTAAGGAGCTGGGTTCTAAGCTAATTGAAACAACTAGAGACCTTAGAGCCGCCAGTTTCCTCTTTCAGCGCCTGAGTGTGGCGATCCAGAGAGGAAATGCTCACTGCATCAATGGTTCCTGCCCGCCATCTGTGGAACTTTACAACCTGTGACAAGTAGCCTTCTACCTTACATATAACCAATGTTGTATCCCTTTTTGTATACTGAAATTTTAAATAAAATAAAACGACAAATATATATATATATATATATATATATATATATATATATATATATAATATTTTTTTTTTTTTTTTTAAACCTAGAAGGGGTACCACCTCTGGTGCAAGTGTAGGGACCCATAGCTTCGGAGAAGAAAATAAAGAGTACTCAGAGAAGACCTTGTGGATCCTCACTGAATATATATATATATATATATATATATATATATATATATATATATATATATATATATATATATATATATATATATATATATATATATATATATATATTATTTACTTACCTTCTGTCAAAGTTCCGAAAACTGTAGTTTCAGGGTCACAATTACAGAGATGATAATATCGCACTCAGTCGGTTTCCTTTTCTTCAGAAACCCACCGACCATCAGTTCACAGCAGTAATCCAAAAGGCACACAGTTTGCTGGCGTGTTATTAGTGAGTGCAGAAACACAGACCGAGCCAGACTTAGGCGAGTGTATCAGAGTCCAGCCAGCGGGAGACTAGCTCGCCTCCCCCTGCACCCACTCACACACACACACACACTCCTGCCTGACTACTTGGTCACCCTCGCCATTCTGCTGTTCTCAGAGAAAGTTGACCTCCCTGCAGCCTCGCTACCCCCCGTGCCCGTACTGATTCGCTGTTCTGTAATACAGCTGCAGCTGCTTCTGAATGTAGTTTTAGAGTATTTTTAGTTTTATGGATGTCTTGGGATGAGTCTGATCAAAATACTCACAGAAAGTATAGTTCCAGTTAAAATATTTTTCAGCAGGGAGGAGATACCGTTCGATGGGCAGATCCCTGCCGCATACCCTATTTTTTATGCAATAATATAGACCCTAATTCTTATGCAATGATATAGACAGCTTGGTTATGTTCACTACCACAGCTGCTTCATGTGCGTCAGATGTACGACATTCGTTATAATTTATATATATATAGCTTTGATCAACTTTGAAGCAATTACGTGATACTCCTTTTAAAAAAAGAAGTTAATATTGCATTTCGCTAGTATTGGAGTTATAATTTCCAACCAGATCCAGCAATACTTGAGAACCTGACTCGTGCCCTTGGAAAGATCTAATACCGAATAGCATGATATGCTCCAGTACCTAGCCTAAGGCCTAAATACCAGCATATTTTTTAACATGATATACACGGCTACCTGCTTCTGAAATAGACGTCTGTAGACATTTGAGAGATAACGAATGATTCAAGAACTACACAAAATACCTCACGTTATCAATGTACTTAGCACCGGTTTGCCAAGTGGAAAATGCATAGTTGAAAGCGTCTTTTGAGTGGTGTTGCAATGTTTGATGTAGCTTCAAAATATTTCCCAATATTGATGATTAATTTAGGCTTCTTAAAATGCACAAGGTGTTGTTCTAGTCTCCGGGTCTGACGCAAGTGGCCCCGGTGCTGTTAGCGAGGCTACGGCGCGCATACAAATAATATAGTTCATTTTGTATGCATCCCCATACCCCATCCTGTGGGAGATGTATAGACAGTTTTGCTGTTATATATTTAGATGTTTTTCCAGCGTATATTTTACCAAAATTACTGCACGGTAATGTTTACAGTATATGCCGTGCTCTGGTTTTGATCTTATTACTGTTGTTATCTTTGCTACTGGCTACGGTTTTCCCATATATATATATATATATATATATATATATATATATATATATATATATATATATATATATATATATATATATATATATATATATAACGTGAGATTTAATGAAGTGTGTAATATATGTCGGTTGACTAGACTAGATAAAGATAGTGACAGGTCTGATGAGATATAACCCAAGCTAAAATCTTGATATAAATCTGTTATTGTCACAGAGAAGTGGCCTTGTTGATGAGCAGTCTTAATGTTGTCTTAAGTCAGCTCTGTCGCAAGTGTTCAGCGTTACTAGTGAGTTTGAGTCAGAAGAGTCCAGGAACTTTGTGTGTGTGTGTGTGTACTCACCTAGTTGTACTTGCGGCGGTTGAGCTACGGCTCATTGGTCCTGCCTCGCATCTGTCAATCAACCGGTGCACAGATTCCTGAGCCTATTAGGCTCTATCATATCTATATTTAAAACTGTGTATGGAGTCTGTCTCTACCACATCACTTCCGTGTGTGTGTACTCATCTAGTTGTGCTTGCGGGGATTGAGCTCTAGCTCTTTGCGCCCGCCTCTTAACTATCAATTGTATTCTCCACACACACACCCATGAAGCAGTTCGTGGCAGCTGTCTAACTCCCAGGTACCTGTTTACTGCTAGGTCTGCTAGGTGAACAGGGACAACACGGTGAAAGAAGCTGTGTCCATTTATTTCCGCCTCCCCCGGGGATCTAACCCCGGACCCTAGGATTACGAATCCCGAGTGCTGTCCACTCACCCGTCAGGCCACGTCAGCTGTCAGGCAGACACGTGTGTGTGTGCGCGCGCGCGTGCGTGCGTGCGTGTGTGCGTGCGTGTGTGCGCGGCATGGATGGCTGATGGACTAGGCATGTCCCTGAACACGTCAGGACATTATACATGTCCTGACATGTGTCCAGGACATCTTTTACATGTGTTCCCAGCTACACAAGTGTTTTTTTTCAGCCACGTTATTGTGACTCATCGCCTACACAAGTGTTTATAAATATATATATATATATATATATATATATATATATATATATATATATATATATATATATATATATATATATATATATAGAGAGAGAGAGAGAGAGAGAGCCCCCCCTTGGGTCTAATGCCATTGATGTGATTCTTGATCACATCAATGAAAAAATCAATGAAGAAAATCACAAGAGGATGGAAAACACCATAGGTGACATCAATGCCCCACGATGCTTTTTATCTCCTCACTTAAATGCCTATTCCTTCCGAGGCTAACCTACTTTCTGAGGTGCGCCCCATCCTACGACAGCCCAAAGCTTGAAGAGTATGACCTATTACTGAATGAAGACCATGCTAGAAAAAGTTGTCAACCTCTCCCTCAATGAATGCCAGTGGAAACAAGCCACTTTTCCTGTCAAGCTCGGCCGCTTGGGTGTCTGAACTGCCACCCAAATTGCTGTCCCAGCCTTCCTGTCTTCCTCCTCAGCATCAAATGACCAGGTTAAGGAAATTCTACCTGACAATCTGTGTGACTTAGCAGGGATACAGGACTCCCACTACATGGAATGCAACACAAAATAATTACCATGGCAGACTCAGCACTCAGACCTACCATGTTGAAACCAAGAAAAAATCCAGCTGGGACAGCCCCATTGTAGACAAAGAAGCCTCAGCTTTGCTGGAGGCAGCAACAATTTCCAGTGATTGTGCACGCCTCGCAGCTGTGCAGGCTCCCCATGCAGGGGACTTCCTTTTGGCAGTCCCTATGTCTGTGACAGGCACATGTCTTGATCCGCAGGAGCTCCGTATTGCAGTCGCTCTCTGCCTTGCTTCCCCTATCCACACTGTTCATAGGTGTATTTGCGGCGAGGCAGATGCAGATGAATATGGATTGCATGGCCTGCACTGTGGAAAATCAGGCGGCTGGCACTCACAACACGACCAAATCAATGACATCATTAAGAAGAGCCTTGCCTCTGCCCAGTGTCCAGCAGAGAGAGCATCGCAATCTATTGAACCGTAACTATGTTAGCTTTGCTGGCCTACCAGATGAAATCACACTGCACCCTTGGAAAAATGGCAGACAATTGGTGTGAGACTTTATCTGTATATCCACCCTGGTAGCCACATACATCACCCTCTCTGTCGGCCAAGCGGGAGTTGCGGCGACACACAGAGAAAGAGACAAGTCAACCAAGTACAGGGAAATAGATCACCGGTACAACTTCGTTCTAATAGGATCTGAGACCCTTGGTCCATGGGAAGAGAGTGCAAGGTGGTTTCTTGAGGATCTTGGTTCCAGGTTCATTGACGCTACAAGGGACTCTAGAGCGGCAAGTTTTCTCTTCCAGTGACTCAGTGTGGTGGTCCAGAAGGGGAATGCCCACTGCATCCGCGGTTCCTGCCCGGCGTCGGAGGAGCCCGAAAAAATCTACAGCCTCTAGGAAACAAATTTCCTTAAATTTCCTCATAAGGTTTGCTTTATGTAAACAATCAGATATGTAACTGTATAATCTTGTATAATAAAGTGCACAAAAAAGGGGTGGTAGGAGAAGTGAACACTTATACGTATTCAGAGTTAAATGGCAAGTTTTTCTCTGAATGCTCTGTTTTCCTTTCTCCGAGGCTATGGGTCCCTACAATTGCACCAGGTGATACCCCTTTATATATATGTAATATATATATATTTTTCTTAATTTGCATTTGTAGTGCGTGGGTGAAGCATTTACAGAGATACGATTCGAAAAGAAGTCGCGAAGCACTGTTCGAAAAATTTTGGAACGTCATCAGTGTGAGTTGCACAGCCCGTCCTCCAAACAAAGACCCATAAGTGATTCCATGTAACTGCCAAACCCCCTGTGTATGAATGAAAAACGTTCTTTTTTACACAAGACTCATAACTGATTTCGTTCGAACACTTACGAAACAAGTGCTTCACTGACGAATTTTGTTCCAACCACAACGCTGTAAATGCTTCACCCACGTACTACAAATACAAATAATCGCCAACAAAACCTAAACACCTAACCTATGCCTATATATGCACAATATGCTTTATATATTATATTAATTTTTTTAAGAAAATTCTCGCGTTGAATGAACAGCATGTTAAAATTTATGAATGCGTCTGTTTGGTCGACCGCTGGGTGTAATGGACTTGAGTCGAGGACGGGTTGTGTGTAAACAGTTTTTATTTCATCAACAGGGGGTTTGGCGGGTGCATGGAATCACTATTGGATCTTTCTTTGGAGGACGGGCTGGCGAGTTGTGTGTATAGCGTTTTTCATTCATTAACAGGAGGTTTGTCAGCTGCGTGGAATGAACAGTGGCGTTTGTTGACGAGGACGGGCTGGACTAGATTGATTGATTGATTGATGAAGATTAAGCCACCCAAGAGGTGGCACGGGCATGAATAGCCCGTAAGTGGTGGCCCTTTCGAGCCATTACCAGTATCAAAAGATGATACTGGAGATCTGTGGAGGCGCAACAGCACCCTGCGTGACGGGAGATGTCTCCCGGACCAAGTGGTGACCAAATGGTGCGGACTAGATTATACTACGAGAATTTATCAACTTTTATGAAGGCGGCCGTCAAAGCTACGACTGATCCCAAAGAGGCATTCGTAAATTTTAAGGTACAGTAATTTTTTTTTTTTTTTTACTGTTTAACTTTTTACTGCTTTTTTCGAATGTAAATATATATTAATGTATATTATAAATTTGTTATTGTCAAGGGCCTAGAATATGTTAAATATTGCATTTTTGTTCCGTTAGCAATTATTTTGTATTTGAAGTATGTGGTGAAAAATGTAGGAAGGTGCGATTTGAACACAGGAGCAGACCGAAGCACTTTCCATAAAATGTTAGAACGTAATCATTTGCGAATCGTGTGTAAAGCGCTTTTCAACCATGAACAAGAAGGTTTGGCCGCTTGGCTAATTGACCTTTAGTTATGAGGTCGTACTGTATTCGTAACATAAACCGTCACTAAACTTAAATGTGTAAACTGAGTCAAAGCGTACGAATGATTCAAGTGAGGCTTCATATTCGCAATGAAAACGGTTTTAAGATAATATAGTGAAGACTATGGTAAGTGGAAGTCAGTGCACGATAAGTCCGGTGAGTGGGTGGGTGGGTGGTGTGCTCTGAGGGAGTGATTCGAAGGTGATGAGAGGAAACTACATACGGCTTGTTGGTCCATGCAAGGTTGGCAGTTCCCACTTACAACCATGTTTATCTCTTAACTTGTGTATTAAGATCTACCCAAATAGATTCAGTGTTTAAAATATCGTAGCCGAAATAAAATTAAATGAATGAATTATAGTGTCGTAATTTGCTTTTCACATATCGAGGAGAATCACAGGTCAAACATTTTAACACAGAAAATTGATTGATATAACATTGATCATCACGTTAATGTGATTTCATTGTGCATTTCAACGCATACTCTATATCAGACCTAAATTCACAGCGTAGGGCATCTTGGAAAAGACGTAAATGGTGAGGAAGTTAATTATCGGGAGAGTGCTAAACCAGTACTGCTATATAGCACTTGGAAGGGATACTAGATGGGCAACCCGTCCTCGCACTAGGCTGTTTAACACAGCGGCCGTCCTCCCCAGACGCATTCATAAATTTTAAGTGTATTCAAAATTGGTTTCAAATATATCAATTAATATTATTATACATAAAAATTATATGTAGAGTTAGGGGCAGGTTAGGTTGAGTGTTTAGGTTCTGTTGGCGATTATTTTGTATTTGAAGTACGTGGGTGAAACATTTATAGAATTGTGGTTCGAACAGAGGACGTGAGCGAAGCACTTGTTCCGGAAGTGTTCGGACGTCATCAGTTGTGAGTTGTGTGCAAACCGCTTTTCATTCATAAACAGGAGGTTTGGCGGCTGGATTAACGAGCTTAGATCTTTGTATGCTAGGACTGACTGAAGATGGTACGGAGGGGAAGGGATGGTGCCCAACCACTTGCACAACTGTTGTTCAAACGTCGACCTACCAGAAGCGGGTCTATCGTTATACCGACCAGTCCAAGATCTTGGGTTATTAGAGGTGAGTAGCCTTTATATTTGCCAGTTCCCTAATATGAGCTTCGATGTTGCTGCCTTGCAGATTGCTTAACCCACCTATAACTATATTTGTCGAGTTAAAATTCATTATCGCGAGTTGGGTGAAGTTATAACTTTTTTTTTTTGGATTGATCAGGTGTAGTGACCACCACATTGCATCTATTTCTTCACTGGTCTTTCAACCCGTCATTCTACTTTGAATAGAATGTGACTTAACCTATGAACTTATATGTTTACGTGATTAAGGTTACAGGTGCTTGGACTTAATTTGTGTATATAGCTATATATTTTTTTTTTCTAGTTCGAATCATGTACATGGCATAAGAGAATTTTTATAAGGTAGATGGAGTACCCGACTGTGCCCATGGGGAGGGTGGTAGGGGTATTGTCTCCCTCTACCAATCTCCTTCTCTGGTCGCATCTCTTCCCCTGTCCTCCCCCTCTCTTTCCCCCAACATCCTGCCTCTCCTCACCCCCGTTCATCTTGCCTGTCCCCCCCCCCCCCATCTACGCTCGCTTGCAAATTTGAATATTACAACTTTTTTGTATATCAACACATTTAAGTACATCTGCGTTTGTGGAGTTACTCTAGACTATATGAAGGGGAGTACAGCGTGTGTCAAGAGTTAGCTACCTAGACTATATGAAGGGGAGCGTGTGTCAAGAACTAGTTATCCTAGACTATATGAAGGCGGAGTACAGCGTGTCAAAAAGCTAGCTACGTGATGCTAAAAATGCCCATCACACAGGATGGTTAGTCATACAGAGGCATATGATAAGTAGTCTTCACTGGCAAACGCTGGGTGCATTATGAGGATATCTTCAACAACACGAGAGTGAATAAAATAATTGCAAAGCTTCAGGTACCTCATGCCAATGGATCTGAATGGTCTGATAACTGGGCATTCGGTGATGTAGCTGGTGGAAAAGCTGACAAAAAACTATTCGGAAAATAAATTTCACAAAGGAAGCCGACTCCGGCTGGCATATGGCAATCACATACCACACATAAATATCGTAATGAAAATATGAGTAAGGCCCTCAAGCGTCTGGCTTCTTATCTGTCGCACATTCTCTTTTATGGATATAGATTTCGGGTAATATTTTTGCTAGTTATTGCCTTCAACATGTGGCTAGAGCGGTTGACAAGCCAATGCGTGTACAGTATCTGGGGCCTTTGTCATGTGGGTGAGGGTGGCAGAGGTACGGTGCTGCCATCTAGTGAGCCATACTGCACCTGGTACAGCAAGCAACCTGTGAATCAATTTAGTGTATCATTACGGGATCCTGCCTCTGGTAGGGAAGTACTGGTGAGAGGACTATAGTGTGGTGGTGGGGAATTTATGTTCAGAATTATAGAACATTATGAAGAAGCTTCAATAATTGATTACACTCTCCACCCTCGTTTTTTTTTTCTCTCACAAGGCTTTCAGGTTGAGCCAGAACAAAGATCTGGTGACCTGTGTGAAGCTGAACGGTTCTCGTACGCGTTTATCCGGCTCTCCCACACACCAGCCTTCACCCTCCTCGTCGATATAACCCGTATGCGAGGGATCACTAGGGAGCCGGGATATGAGGCTACATCAACGTTGCCCCGTTACCCGTGAACCTTGGGTGGGGTTAGGTGGCCCATTTCTCGCTTCTTCCTTCCCTTCCTTCCTTCCTTCCTTCCTTCCTTCCTTCCTTCCTTCCTTCCTTCCTTCCTTCCTTCCTTCCTTCCTTCCTTCCTTCCTTCCTTCCTTCCTTCCTATTTACTCCTCTCCTGGGTTCCTTAGTCCTTATTTTCCGTGGCCTCCTCCCGCCACTAAACCCTCAAATCGTACTTTGGGAGCTTGTCCTTCCCGTTATTTCTGCAGATAGCAGGCATGGAGATGGGGCGCAGTGGCTGGTTGTCACCTATAAAACAGTTTTAAGCAGACATCTTGCTTAAAACATTCATGTTATGATAGTGTCAGGAGCACATTCGGTTACTGAACTATGTTGAGGACTAAAAGTACACTAACTGGTTGATCGGTCAACCCGTCCACTAAATAGAACGTCGCATTTTGACGTATACTCTACCTAAGGCCAAAAATTGTCGTACTAGAAAATGGTAGCGGGTCGCGAAATTGACATAACGTCTCGTTTACTGTTTTGGGTCGATTGGAAGGTTAGGGGAGGTCACTTTAGTACGACAGTTTCTGGACGTTGGGAAACCTTAGGAGGACGGGCTGGATTAGTAGGCTGTGGTGGTGGCCATTAAACAACGGTTTATACCCCAACGCCAAACCATAGTAGATAGCTTGCGAACCAGCACGTCTACTTTAGTCCGGAATTATGTTTAAGTATTAAGTATAGTGTGTATACACTCTAGAATACACCTATATATACCGTGGAGCTCCTGCTTCATAGGTTTACTTACTGTAAATAGTGTATATATACCGTTATACTGTCCGTAAGCTCGCAATGGGGCTTTAAACTGACCTGAAGTGTGCACAGACTGTTGATATATAGGTTGAGCAACCTCTGAAACTCGTATAACAATGCTGTAACTTGCATACTTAAGCGAATATTAAGCCCCAGCTCCTGAGCGCATTGTGCATCGCTACTGTGCAGCCTCTCCATTGTGCATCGCTGTGTGCAGCCTCTCCATCGCTACTCCTCAGGACAGCCCATTTATTTATTTTATTTATTTATTTATTTATATACAAGAAGGTACATTGGGTTTGTGAGAATACATAGCATGGTATTTACAATCTTGTAAAGTCACTAGTACGCGCAGCGTTTCGGGCAGGTCCTTAATCTAACAGATATTCTCCATTCTCTCTTTGTCACGGAAGTTAGGCAGCTGTTATGGGTCAGTAGTTTGACTTGACGGCCTCGATAAGTTTAATAAGCAATCTGTCCTCGACAAAGGGAAGCTGTGAAATGATATTACTTAACCTTTAACAATTCACTGTAGATACGTTGATGTATTTACACATCAGTGATAGATCTGATCACTGATGTATCTACACCAGTGTATCATTGGATGAATACCCAATGTATTCATCAGTGTAGCTGTAGTGCTGTGGTTTACGTCTTACTAAATATTGTGGGATCCGGAGTTTGATGCCTGGGCGGGGCAGAAATGATTGTACACATTACCTTTCACCAGATGCCTCTGTTTACCTAACAGTAAATAAGTACCCTGGACGTGTTGTGGGTTGCAGTCTGGGTAAGGTCAGTAGTTGACCTAGCGGGACCTCGGTATAATCTCAAGTACAGGCTCCCTCTCCCTGACAACAGGAATATAGAGACCACCTTGGACCCTTTAGCTCAGTCAGTGCAAGCTTATTTGTAGATGACAGAAAACGGTACAGATTGTGTTGTAAAAGGGGAGACTATCTTGCGGCGCTATTATGCAGTTGGTTTATCTGAGAGCCACTAGCACTATTGGCCTCAACGAGGACAGGAAGGTCCTCGGCTTGTCGAAGGTCCCCCCATTTGCCATGATGACCTTTTCCAGCTGTACTTTCAATCTTAACAGAGTTTGGGCATTTACGGCTTTAGCGGATAGACAGTTCCATGGGTTTATAACCCTGTGGGTGAAAAAGCATCTCTTGTTCTCAGTCTTACATTGTAGCTTGTTGAGCTTGGAACCGTTGCTCCTTGTTCGTGTTACATCTGTCCTTTTGAAGACATTTTCCGGATCAACATTCTCCAAATTGTCCAGTAAATCGTAAAAGTGAGTTGACTTAGCTCTGGAAGGATTTTTGTTGCCCGGTGTTGCAAGCCAAATATCCCCAGTTTGCTAACTGTAGGTAGTAACTAAGTGATTGTAACGTATCCACCGCTGCCCACTGGATGGGGGGCGGTGTGCAGGACAAACATATCAATTGTGACACTAGCTCTCCACATATGTCAGTTGCTTAATTTAGAACCTGTACTTTAGGTCGATCTCGAACCCATTGTTGATGTGACGACTTATATTGCTTTTTGTAACTAGCTCATCAAGATTGTAACTTGCTTAGCTAAATGAATTGTGGGGTTCAGTCCCTGAGCCCATTATGTGCCTCTGTAACCCTTTCCACTACCGCCCACAAGATGGGTATGGGGTGCATAATAAATGAACTAAACTAAAAACTAACTTTCTCCAGAGCAAGTATGTCCTGCTGAAGATGAGGTCTCCATGCTTGGATACAGTAATCCAAATGGGGGACGCGCCTGAGATTTATACAGTTGAATCACTACTGTACTTTCTTTTCCTTAAAGTCTAAGATTTGCTTGATTATTCCAAGTGTTTGGTTAGTTTTTTTTTTTACTGCTGCCCATACCTGCTGTGTAATTTTCTTTGAGTGGTGGATTTTGACTTTTTTGTTTATAGTTTAATTAATTTATTATGCACCCCATACCCATCTTGTGGGCGGTAGTGGAAAGGGTTACGAGGCACATAATGGGCTCAGGGAAGGTCCTTTTCTTCATCAATCTGTTGTAATGTAATGTCATTAATTTGGTAGTTGTTACTTTCCCTTTGTCAGATCGGAAGCCTGTTAGGCTAATTGGTATCGTCTCCAATGACCTCGTGGACCCCGCTGCTAAAGAGATCGTTCATGCTTGTCCCATCTTCCAAAGACGAATGTCTTAAAAGGATTTTTACCCTTATTCAGAACCCAATTCACTACCGTTGGTTGGGGTACCCATTAGGCCACCGACCGTGTGGCCTAATGGATAAGGCGTCCTACTTCGGATCCGAAGATTGCAGGTTCGAGTCCTGTCATGGTCGCTTCGGAGGCCTGGTCGACGACCGGGCCGCGGGGACGCTAAGCCCCGGAAGCACCTCAAGGTAACCTCAATGTAAGGGGTAAAATGGAAGTTACAAGTAACAATATACGTCTGATCAGATTACACCTATCCCTGTATAACCCGGCCTCTCGAATAGTACATAGCATTTTGACATGACTCTAAGGCCAAAAACTAATGTACCAAAAATCATAGCGCCTCGCAGAATTGACGTGATGTCCC